TATGAAAATTATATTAAAGATTTATAAATTACAAATTTAGTAATTTGAATTATATATAAAATCAAATTATTTTTCAAAAATAAATAAAATATAAATTACAAGTTAATTATTTAATTTACAAAACAAAAATTGAAAATCAAATTACTTTCTTCTCTCCCCAGATCCACTGCTCCCTTTTCCACGCGCCACCAGTTTGCTGAGATTTTTGTTTAATCTCTCCCCATTGATGAAGTTCCACCGTCATCTCTCCCTTTTTCCCTTCAGATTTCTCTCGTGCATCTCTCTCTCCACCTCCATCGAGGATCTACCCCCATCTTATATTGGAAAGAGATGTGATGAACTCTTTTAGTGAATCCAGATTGTTTTTTCTTCAGATCTGTAATATAAATAAGATCTACATCAACAATAAGTCAAGTCTAACGAGGATCATAAGAAAGGTGATACCTTCTGTAGTAAAACAAGACAACGAATCAAGCACCTTGTGTCCCAAAACCTCAAGATCTCACAACGCCGAACACGAGCTCATCTTCGTCACCGAGAAACTTATTAACGAAGAAGAAAAACAGAGAAAATGACATGGGATTAACTTCTTATCCAAATCTCACGTGATGCTGAGTCCATTTAACTTAACACCTTCGAACAAAAATCTGGTGATGGAGATGTAAAGAGGAAGAAGAAGATGACTATGTGATTATGTGAATTTACGTTTGTGATTCTGCTTCTTCCACTTTGTTTTGTGGTTAAAAGAGTATCTCTTTTCTGATTGGTTGAAACAAGAAGAAGTGGATCACTTCTCTTTTGATATCAATCGTTGGATCTGAATTTAATCAACAAACTGCTTTTGCCATTATCAATTTTTTTTTATTGAAAAAGATATAATAAAATTTCCTACCAAATTTTTTTGGAATTACTTCGACAATTGTTTTTGTAGGAAATTGGAATGAAATTTTCCTACCAAATTCCTACTGCGTCTTTTCTCACTAAATTTCTTCCATTTTCCTACGAAATTTCCTACAATTTTACGTTTTGTAAGATTTTCGTAAGAAATTTCCTACGAGTTTCTCACGGCTAAGTTTCGTAGAAAATTTCCTACCAATTTCCTTCGATAATTATTTTTTGTAGGATAATCGTAATTATTTTGTAGGAAATTGTTTTTACCAAAATTTTGGTAGGAAATTTAGTAGGATATAACGATGTTTTCTTGTAGTGTAAATGATATTTTTATAAGAAAAAAAATATATGTTTTTTTAACATGTGTAATAATCTTAAACATCACTTACTTAAAATAAAAGAGGGAAAAAGACGTTTGTGTGATGAGGCTGATTCCAATCAAAACAACTTTTCCTTTAGCTATGCTTCAAGTCCCGAAAATAAAAGCACTGGTTTAATCAGATTGCATTTCACCAAAATTAATCTACACGAGTAACAATGATTAATTTACATTTAATTGTTCCATTCATTGCATGTGGAGCACAGACAACGCGACATATATATATAGATGAATAAACAAAATTTGTATTCCTACTTGGTAACTCTCCATCAAATATTAAATAACATATATGGGTCTCGTGACTCTCATCCACGCTAGTAACAAAAGAATCTGTTTTTGTTGCACAAATAAAAAAAAAAGTAAAAATCACTGTACCATAGTGCTGGGTTAGTTATAAAAAAACAGTGCTCGTATTTTCATTTTAAGAAACATCAAAATCATTAAATTTTCTACTAAAAACTAAGTATTACATAAAGTGACTCTATACCAAGAAAAGAAAAACAACTTGGCTGTGTCTTTTTTTTTTGCCAAACGTTGGTTGTTTATGTCTAATCGGTCTTATAGGAAGCACGATTTGATTTAACAGAATATATGCATTATTAACCAACCATACAAAATAGTTTATCTTCTGTTTGTTAACCAAGAAGTTCCATGTCTAAGTATGTATTTTCTTCAGTCTTCACACTCAAGATTCAAGAAACATCCGTTAATTAAGAAACAAACCGAGTCATTCCATAGTAACCTACGTACGTACACTCACTTGATTACCATACAAATAGTTAACATATTGCTATCAACTATACAGCATATACTGTATGATTAAATTTTACTTTTTTTAAGTGGACAAAGACTATATTACAGATCAAGTTTTCACCAATTACCAAAGTTGATATATATTGCTATCTTTTAGTTTCTGTAAACAGTTTAAATGGTAAAAGTTCCGGTTTTTTACTGTTCTTGAAGATTAGTCTCTAATTTTGACGTGGATATACTACTGATCCGGTCTTGAATATAAAATTATCCTACAAAATATCTTACACACTTATTGTAATCACACATACAAAGCTAGCTAGATATTATATATAGCTACATAAGAGGGGTTTCTATTTTATTTTAATGTGGTATATATTACTCTTTACGGTGAGCCCTGCAAAGTCCCAAGAGGCGTTAAAACAGATTTTCAAATGAAAGAAATGATAAGAGATGTGAGATGTAAGATGAAATGAAACGAGCTTTAATAATAAAGCAAAAATGACTTTATTTGATTTTGTTTTTTATCCCTAGCCACTTTAAATGAATAGTTAAGCAAAATGACTTTATTAACATTTTTAATTAATTAATTATATGTTTTACACCCAGAAATAGTGATGCTGAGAAACATTAGAACACGTGATGTCCATACACACAATAAATGTCATATAACTAATAACTATAATTAATGAACAAAACCGATCAAAACACGATTATACCGATTTATTCTTAATGCTTAATTATTATAATTTGACGAATGATATTTTCATTTATATTTTTTTTTCTTTTTTGACATCTTTCATTTATATTCTTTAAAACATCTAATATGTGATTTTTGGACGGGTTTATTATTATCATTATGCTTTTTTAACGTAAGATGTTATCTTTTACACAGTCTATATATATGCGCGAAAATTTAGTTTATCAATTAATTTTATTTGACATCTTAAGGATCAGCATAATATTTATCATCTCAAGGATCTGTATTATTATTTAACATGCAAAATACCGATATATTAAAAATGACAAAGCTGGTTTCAAGTACAGACCAAAAACAATAATTTATAAAAGTGTAGGGTGAAACAGTTGGTAAACCACTCTTGAATCTTGAGAAGCCAGCCCGATCTCCTCGGGAAAGGCAAGAATCTCTGATACATCTGTCAATCTGTTTGATGATTACAGTTGCAGGAGATATGGAGGATGCACCATACTTGTCTCCTCCTAAAGCATATACCCTTTTTTTGTTATTTGATAATAGTAAGTACTTTGAAATTGTTATTTTCTTTTCGTATATAAAATCTTCTCCTCTTTTTTTTTTTTGGTATGAATAAATCTTCTCCTTTGCTTGTCTATCAAATTAACTCTAGAAAAAAAAAATATATGCTATTCTTGATAATTTTTTATTTTTGGCAGCACGGTATTTGAGACTTTAATTTATAATTAGTATTGAACTCGCAGAGAAAACATTCCTGATTAGAGTCTCTTTCAAATCATTTGAAAAGTTATAGTACCACCGAAAAAGGAATGGTCACTACTCACTACACTCCTGATGGCTGACGAGGTGATGATATTTGTTATATCATTGTTTAAAATTTATCTATGGTGCTTTTACCACTTTATTGACACGAGTGCCGTAGAGCTCATGTATATATATATATGCTCATCTCCATATATGACTGGAGTAAGTATACGTAGCGTTGCAATGTCTTAGAACGTTCGATATATCTTCCCCTTTCCAAGTATCTATTTTAAATATTCTTGAAGATGAAAATGGTCTTCCACAGCTTCTCAGTCAGATTCATATTCAGATGCATCAAAGTTCTCATCAACAGATCTATCAGTCTCTTGCATTAAAAAAACTCGACGACATTTCTGTTTTTATCTTCTTGTTTCTTCATCTTTAGGTTTTGTATGTAAATCTATATCATAACGAAAGAAAGAAAGAAAAAATGTCGAGAAAGCCATGTTGTGTGGGAGAAGGGCTGAAGAAAGGAGCATGGACTACCGAAGAAGACAAGAAACTCATCTCTTACATTCATGAGCACGGCGAAGGAGGCTGGCGTGACATTCCCCAAAAAGCTGGTATGTTCTCATTTTTTATTTGTTTGATGAAGATTGGTGTTTTGCATTTCCTATGTATTTCCAACTAATTAACATAGAAATCAAGAAACATTGAATTCAATCAAATGTAATGAATTATAGAATCTTCATAAATCTTTATATATGAAACAAAAGAAAAAGTTATATATATATATATATATGTATATGTGTGTGTATAAATGTCAAAATTGATGGTTTTATATTAATGGCAATGGTGGTTAGGACTCAAACGATGTGGAAAGAGTTGTAGATTGCGATGGGCTAACTATCTGAAACCTGATATCAAGAGAGGAGAGTTTAGCTACGAGGAGGAACAGATTATCATCATGCTTCACGCTTCTCGCGGCAACAAGTAAATTACTTTCCTAGCTTTGTCAAAAAAATGATCGATCGATCCACACAACTTAGTGTGTAATTAATTAACACATATATATAGATTAAGATTTGGACTTATTCTCCTTACTAGGTGGTCTGTCATAGCGAGACATTTACCAAAGAGAACGGACAACGAGATCAAGAACTATTGGAACACGCATCTTAAAAAACGTCTGATCGATCAGGGAATCGATCCCGTCACCCACAAGCCACTTGCCTATAATAATAATCCAGGAACGCCGCCCAAGTCTTCTGATTCTCAAGATGATGAACAATCGCAATCGGGGTCGATGTCTCCAAAGTCTCTCCCTCCTCCTTCAAGCTCATACAATCTACAGGAGACAAGCAGCAGTGATGAGACACCGAGATACGGTGCTTCCTTGACATCCAAGAAACACTTGTTTAAGAGGTCAAGTTCTACATCAAAACTGTTAAACAAAGTCGCAGCTAGGGCTGCTTCCATTGGAAATATTTTATCAGCCTCCATGGAAGGAAACTTGAACAACTCTAAACCATTGCCTTCATGTCTCAATGATGACTTTTCCGACACTAGTGATCAACTTCAGATGGACAACTATGACCCATTCTCTCAGTCATCTGAAGACATAATTCCAGATGATATCAGCATGATCAACACTGAACTCGACAAATACGATTTCTCGCAGTTTCTGGAGCAATATAGTAACAAAGAAGGCGACAACTTTGGTGGATACAATCAAGATCTGCTTATGTCTGATGTCTCATCAACAAGTATTGATGAATACGATATTATGCAAAACATAACCGGTTGGTCAAATTATCTTGTTGACGATTCCGATTTTAGTTATGACACGAACCAAGATTGCGACGACAAGAACTCCGTATGATCCGTTGACCGGTACTTAGCTTTCATGGTTCTCAGGGATATTTGTCAGGTTCACTATATGGTTTAATTTCTACATTCAATATATAAGGGATTCTCTTTTTAGTCTCAGAACCTTTTGATTTGCGGGATGTTGTTTTTTTTATTAAAAATAAAAAAATATATGTACGTAGTAACTGTTTGGACGTCCTTCTGAAATTAAAGAATAAAGTATGTATTTTTCTTAATAATTCCATTTTTTTTAATCCAACTTACTGTATATTATTGTTCAATAATATGTTTTTATCTTTGTCTTAATAACTGTGCAGATTTTTTAAATAAAAGTTTCGTACCGACAGATTTTGTGTGCCAAAGAAAACAAGTTTAGTAATTCAATGATATCATCATCATCATCATCATATGTGATAGGCTATTGTTTTGTATATGTGGCTGCTCGTGGACGATTCAATTCCGTCCATTTTTTTTTCCTACATTACTGACTTCCAATAAGGAGAGCGTACCATTTGGAGCAAATCAAACGGATTATGGATTATGGATTATGCAGATCAAGCCAAACAAAACTAGATCAAACAGAACAAATGCACATCAAGGGGTTCAAATATTTTGTATATATATATTAAATAAATTAATATTAAATTAATATAAAAATAAAAGATAGAACTTACCATTTACACTTCTAAATAAATGTGGGTGAAGGTGAATTACTCTGCTTATTAAAAAAACAAAATATTTTCGTTTTTTAAAAGCAGTTCCGAAACAATTTAAAAATAGTTTATCTGCTAAACAATTTTTTTTTGTTTGAATTGGAACATAAAAACAGATATTCTTCTTCAATCAGCTAATTAATAGACTGATTTTGGATTTATGATTTATTCATTTTAAAAATCTTTACCTCGTACTTCTTGCAGCGGCAATAACTTATTCTCCAAGGTTATGTTGAAAATTAGCTAGGGAGACGTTTTGCTTTTGCATGTATGATTGCATCATGAATATATATAGACCAAATATATATAAACGTTGCATAATTAAACTGCATGCATGCTTGAGAAAAGAAACGTACGTATGTGAAAGAAATAGATTTTTGCAGCTGCCACTATTTGTGTTGCAATTTGTATTATCCAATTAGTTAGAATAATTAGACCATTGGTGTTGTTTTCAGATATTAATTAAAGCGAAGAGACGCAATTAAAATAAAAGTGGATAGAGCCTCGCTCTAGCTAGAGGTACAAGGCTGTGACATGTGACATACAAAATATGGGAAGACAGAGACAAAGATTCCAAAAACGTGCACCGACCAATATTTCTGCAGGCTACTATATCACCTAGCTAACCTTCTTCCTCTTCCCACGGGGGAAATTTCCACATCACTATCTGCCACTTTTACTCATGAAATAGTGCAGCAATGTATTGGAACAACATTAGTACTCAACGATCGATGAATACAGTTCTTAATTCATTCTTTTTTTTTTTTCTGCATGTAGATTAGTGAACATGCATGAAGGACCAAATGTTAGTCTCTGAAAATAAATAAAGAAATGTTGGTTTTTTATCAACCTATACCTACATCTACATAGAACGAACCTTGAGATATCCTAGATCTACATCTACATCTACATCGAAAGAATATCTATAAGCCACAAACACTATATAACTCAAATGGTAAAGAGCAATCAGTGAGATACAAAATTAAATCTGTGACCCGGCAAATTTTGTCGGCTACCAAAAACGAATCTTCATGGTTGATTTTTTTGTTGTGTCATGCATGTGTGTGAATATGAAAGATTTATATGTTTTGTCATCCGATTAAAACTCTCACATTCGAAAACAGCGATTGATCAACCGATATATAGTAGACCCACAATACTGTTTGCGATTAGACACTTAAACCAAAAACAAACGTGGTTTATTACACATGCACGTACGGCTGCAAATACACTCTCATCACGATCACATATAGCTCGCCAAAATAGGCAACCTGTAGCCACACACACATATATATATGACTGCTGCAATCACGAATCACACAGTTACGCTATAGCTATCAACACTTCCATCTTCTAATCTAAATAGTAGATGGTGCCTTTTAAGTTCCACCCATGTATTCGATGTAGCTCTTCAAGGAAGTGTTGTCAACTAAAAGTTGTATGAGAGACTTGAGACTGTGAGTGGATATAACGAGATAGACGTATCTTTAGACCTAGGCTTTACGTCGTTTTCTTTTAGCGGAAATTTCTATGTGCTTTCAATTTGACCTAAGATTCTTTTCATATACATATAATTATGTATAAGAATAGCTTTATACAAAAATAGACTCCAAACTCGTTAATAAATAAATACATTCTTGAGAGTCGAAATCAACTTTTTCAGATTAATTACGATAATCGAAATCATGTTCTTCCTAGCTGTATAGGTTTTAAACCTTACCACTTACCTAACCCTAACTAGATCTAATCGCACTAACTCAACCCTAGTGATTTGGATGATCCAACCAAATAATAATATATACATAGGCACACAGCCAAGTAAACTTTAAACGTGGAGATTTTATACGATTTCGAGTCCCAACAACGTATATATATATATTTTATAATAAAGTAGTATTATATAATTGGAAAATGGGGAATAACCTCTCTTTACGATAATGATTTTAATGGAGATTCCAATAAACAAAAACTGTATAATTAAGCCCACTGCACATGGGTGTTGTTTAACAAACTGAAATTATTGCACCATTTCCTTAAATCAATTATTAAGTGCAAAGTGCAAACTGTAATGGTCAAAAAAGTGCATCTAATTAAAATAAGAATCTTTCTTTAATGGGTTCAACACAGGTTAGTCATTTTTAGAGTCTTGTGAATTGTCCAGCTAAACATCTAAAACATATCTATTAAACTAAAAAGGAACTCTAATTGGGCCCTCAAGAACATAAAAGCCCATGTAATGGTTTCTACTATTTATTCTTTCTGGGCCAACGTATAGGTAACGTTTTAGAACAAGCAAAATTTGTATTTTAGTAAATTAGATCTCAGACAACCTCGGAAGTCGGAACAAAGACAAGATCTCGCCAGGTTACGTGCAAGTTATCACAACTTATTACAAACAACATGTAAACGAAGCAAGGAACCAAACAATTGAAATCTGTGAATTGTGTGATTACGAATCTAATTGACAATCCAAGAAAGAAAAAGAAAAAAACAAATTTTTTTTCCGGGAAAACCTACCGAGAAAGATAAGCCCTAAAAGTAACTGAATTTTCACATTGCCTGCAGAACTGGGCAAAGTAACTTTGATCTTCATATAATCCCCCTCCATGATCCCTCAAGTTATCCCAACAAAATTCGATACTTTTCACTTTTACCACTCGATCGAACCCGACCCGTTTATTCAATGGATCCGGAGGATAGGTCCGAGATTGCCTTCTTTGATGTTGAGACGACTGTGCCAAACCGAGGTCAACGGTTCGCGATACTAGAATTCGGGTCAATACTTGTATGCCCGAAGAAGCTTACGGAGCTCCGAAGCTACTCGACTCTGGTCCAACCTGCTGATTTGAGTCTCATATCTTCCTTGTCCGTGAGGTGCAACGGCATCAAGCGTGACGTCGTCGTTTCCGCACCTTTGTTCTCCGATATCGCTGATACTGTTTACGACATTCTCCATGGTTAGTCTTCTTCTTCCTTAAAAGTCCTTTTTTCTTTTGTCGGTTTTGTAACTCTGTTTTGTGTCTAAATTTCTGGACTTTTCCTGAATTTTGAGTTCTTGGTAATGGCCAAGATCCGAGCTTTATATTATATAGCGTTTTGATGTTGGGGGATATATATATATATATTGCAGGGAGGATTTGGGCAGGTCACAACATATTGAGGTTTGATTGTGCAAGGATCAGGGAAGCATTTGCAGAGATTGGACGTCAACCACCTGAGCCAAAAGGAGCCATCGACTCATTGACTTTGCTAACTCAGAGGTTTGGTAGAAGAGCTGGTAATATGAAGGTACTACAAACGATACATTCCTTTTTTTCCCCAATAATTTTTTACTCTTCACAGGATCGAATTGGTGAATGATGGAATTTTAACTTTTTGTTTCCGAGTTTCAAGGTATTTTTTGAGTGTCTTATTATCTATCCGCTGCATGCTTTTGTTACTGCAGATGGCGACTTTGGCTACGTATTTTGGACTCGGGAAGCAGACACATAGGTAGATAAAATGCATAAGCATTAAGAAGCTAATTCTTTACTTCAAACCATCAAAAGCTTATTAAGCTCAATTTTTTTTGTACCTACCTATTCAGGAGCCTCGACGATGTTAGAATGAATCTTGAGGTTGTCAAATATTGTGCTACGGTCTTGTTCTTGGTATGTTCTCTTTAGTTACTACTTGATAAATGGAGAATCTTTGTCTCCTAATATCTGTTGCTCACCATGTTTAAAAAACTGGACTAATCAGGGCAATGCTTTTATATTTCTTAGGAGTCAAGTCTTGTACTTGTTGATCATTCGGTATCTCCAGGAACTTCTACTTCAAGGAGACGTCTCGATGCATCTTCTTCTCACGAGGGTAATAATAATTTAGTGACCTCTGTTAGGCTACCTTCCATTAGCGAGAACAGTGCAGCTCAGCCAGATCCGTTTAACATGAGCGTCTTGAGGAATGAAATGGCTTCCGACAACTACCTTCAATCAGACATTCTCATGGAAGAAGAACAGATTCAACCATCTGATACTGTTGTCTTTGAGAATACCAGTGACCATGAGGGATTCTTGGCGCCAGATGCTATATCTCTTCCATACATCAAAGCGATTCTTGTCCCGTTTTTTCCTGGAAGCCAAATGATGAAACTAAAGCTACACTATGGTGATTCCCCTCTGCAGCTCTACTGTCCTTGTCTGAAAGTACGGTTTGGAGTCAACGGCAAATTTATGGATAACACTGGGAGACGGAGGTTAAACTTTGTGGTTGATTTGAATCAAAGCCTGTGCAGCATACTCGAAACATGCGATAGTAATGCACAGAAACTATATGTTGATTCCGGTTCCACCTCTGACTGGAACCCGGTCGTGATCCCAATGAAGGGATTTGTAAACTACCCTAACGCAAGGATACAGTAAGTTACCTTACCTAAACTCTGCCTTTCTGCTTCCATGTTCTTGAAACAAATTCCTGGTTTCTTGATTGCTTGCTTTTAGTTTCTCCTGATTAGTTTTTTGGGATATCTGCAGTATTGCGACAGAGATAAACGGAGATGTAGCTCGATATGCAACAGAGATACACCAGAGAGAGTCCTCTGGAGCTACTCAGAAACTAATCTTCAGCAATCCGAGCGGTGAGGAGCTCGAATCGTTTCTGACCACGGGAAGGGTGGTCGATGCATTCTTGTCTCTGGAACCGTATGATTATCAGCAGAAAGCAGGAATACGCCTTGTGGCTAAAAAACTAGTTATACACTCGTAAATCATGCATAATTGTTAATACCGAATACACATAGTCTGTATTGTGTTCATGTAGCTGAGGAGACTCTGTACATAAAAGTTTCAAATAAATGCAATCCAGATTTGTAGAATGGTTTCTTGTGTATCACTGTAAAAGAATGCAGAAATTGCAATCTTGAAATTTCGAGTAAACCACTTAAACGTGAAATGCTTTATGATCTTGGGTCTTGGCACTATTAACATTTTATTACATTGAGCAAACATGTGTTACTTAACTTGGCTGAATATATTGAAAACTTTGATTCAGTTAATACAGTTAATGGAAAAAAACTTATGTACATGTTATGTTTTACTAGTGATTGACAAAGTTGAAGTTTTGTTTAGTGCCAATAGCAAAGTTGGTTTGGTAATCAAATCTCTCTAATGGTTTATTTTTCCCAACTTTTATATCCCATAGTATTAATTTTAGTTATACAGTTTTGGATAGTAGGTGATATGATATTTAAAGACATTTAGTTATAGTTTTGCTTTCGTATTAATGGTGCTGTTAATTGAATCGAATCTGAATCAATTACTGTCTGAATCTTGATCTCTAAAGTTGTTAATTGTCCGCTTCCTCTGTCTCTGTCTCTCTCTCTATATGTCGCAAAGACAAAACAAGTAGACAACAACATCAACAACAATGGCTCCTTGATCAAACTGTTTTACTTTACCAATTTGCTCTAATGGGGAAGAAAGACGGATTCAAGACTCAGAAGCGTGTTTCAACCGCTTCCTCCGCCGCCGCCGGCGTTCTTCCGACGACAATGACTAGTGGCGGAGGAAGAAGACCACCACCACGTGGCAGACAGATCCAGAAGACCTTCAACAACGTCAAGATGACAATCCTATGTGGCTTCGTCACCATTCTCGTCCTACGTGGCACTATCGGCGTCAACTTCGGAACTTCAAACGCCGACGCCGTTAACCAGAACTTAATCGAAGAGACTAACCGACTTCTAGCTGAGATCCGATCCGACTCGGATCCTACAGACCCGAACGAGCCACCTGACTCGGATCTTGATCTCAACATGACATACACTCTCGGACCCAAGATCACAAACTGGGATCAACAACGGAAACTTTGGTTAACGCAAAACCCAGATTTCCCCAGTGTCGTCAACGGGAAAGCTAAGGTTTTGCTTTTAACAGGTTCACCTCCAAAACCTTGTGACAATCCAATTGGTGATCATTACTTGTTGAAATCGGTGAAGAACAAGATTGATTATTGTAGGATTCATGGGATTGAGATTGTGTATAACATGGCTCATTTGGACAAGGAGCTTGCTGGCTATTGGGCCAAGCTCCCAATGCTTAGGAGATTGATGTTGTCTCACCCTGAAATCGAGTGGATTTGGTGGATGGACAGTGATGCTTTGTTTACAGACATGGTGTTTGAGATTCCCTTGTCTAGATATGAGAATCATAACTTGGTTATTCACGGGTATCCGGATTTGTTGTTTGATCAGAAGTCTTGGATTGCTTTGAATACTGGTAGCTTCTTGTTTAGGAACTGTCAGTGGTCTTTGGATTTGTTGGATGCTTGGGCTCCAATGGGACCAAAGGGACCGATTCGGGAAGAAGCTGGGAAGATTCTCACCGCAAATCTTAAGGGAAGACCGGCGTTCGAAGCTGATGACCAGTCTGCATTGATCTATCTGCTGCTTTCGCAGAAGGATACGTGGATGAAGAAAGTATATGTGGAAAACCAGTATTATCTTCATGGGTTTTGGGAAGGATTAGTGGATAGGTATGAGGAGATGATAGAGAAGTATCACCCGGGATTGGGAGACGAGAGATGGCCCTTTATTACTCATTTTGTCGGATGCAAACCGTGTGGGAGTTATGCGGATTACGCGGTTGAACGTTGCTTGAAGAGTATGGAAAGAGCATTCAACTTTGCTGATAATCAAGTGCTCAAGCTTTATGGATTTGGTCACAGGGGATTGTTAAGCCCTAAGATCAAGAGGGTCAGGAACGAGACAACGTTACCATTGAAATATGTCAACAGGTTTGATATTCGGAGAATGACACCTCTCAAGATTGAACCTCGGAGCTAGCAGCTGATGAACCACCTTGGTAAAGCACAGTCACTTCCTTCTTGGCTGAACAAAGTTCTGAATATCATTTAGAGAGCCATTGTTTCAAAGCTCAATCTTTTTGGTCTTTTTGTTTCTATTATAATTTTACACTATATATAAAAGTCAATCGATTCTTTTGTTAACTTGAACAGAGGATGAATCATCGATCAATTTGTTCAAGTACCTTTTTATTGCAAAGATCTGTTTTTTGCAGAACCCTAAGGATGAAGTAACTCTGACTCGTAGAATTTTGGTTAGAACTAGCAAACTTTTAAGTATTTTCTCACATTGAGGGATTGAAATGTAAGAATCTTACAATAAGACAGTAAATTGCAAGAGAATATATAAACAAGAAACAAAAGAATCAGTAGGCTAAAAGAAGTTTGAAATTGTGATGGATCATCTTCTTGATACGATGTCCTTGTGGTGCTTTATCAGTAACTCATTCATCTGAGCTATCTGATGTAAAAGCTGAACTATCCTCTGTTTCAAAATCAGAGAAAAAAAAAGAGAGAAGAAGATGCAAGTTCAGTAACTATGTAAAAAACTGAAGTCGCGTAGACATTTCATCAAACACTTTGTAGGCAAGATAAACAATTGAAAATCATAGAAAACTGATGTACGTACCTCGTCTCTCTCTTTGATCGCATCTCGAAGATGATCAGTGGTTCCTCCTTGGACACGTTTCCGACGAGCTCGTAAACGCATCCACCACCAAACGGCAATGGCAAGAGCTGGATAAAAGGGCCGGAGAGTGACTGAGAACCAGGTCATCAAATTCTTCAATTTGGAGTACACACGTACGAGAAGAAGCTCCCACCAATCTCGAAAGATATCAATCTCACGATTCAATGGTTTCCTCAGTAATTTCCCGTCTGAATCGCCAGTTTGTTCAGAGGAAAATCGCGGAGATTTCGGTTTAAACGGCGGTTGTTCGTCTGAATTGGACGGTGGAGATTCGCCGACTAGTGACGTCGGAGATTTTGGTTCAGATTCCGACGGAGACTTGCGGTCAAATTCAGATGGTTGTCCATCTGAATCAGAAGGGAACAACGAAAAAGAAGAAGAAGAAGAAGAAGAAGAAGAAGAAGCAGAGCGTCTGGATGAAGAAGACGGAGACGAGGGAGAATCAAGGAATCTATCGACTCCGTAGATGGAAGAGTCGACAATGAGATTCTCGTGGTAGATCGGCGGGAAAACAACGTGATCGAAAATTGGGGATTCTCTGATGACAACCATCGACGAACTGGGATCCAAAGGACCAATCAGCTCTTCTTCCTCTTCCGCCATTTCTTCTTTGTTTCAGTCGGATTCGTCTCTCGCTAGGGTTTGTGTGTAAGAAAGGGAAGAGTGTAGAAGAAGAAGACAACAAAACCATGAAAGTTTCAAACGTTGGGATCCAACAAAAACGAGATTGTTGCCTTTCCTGATTCGTCGTTTTTTTCTTATTTTCTACTAATTTTGTCAGATATATTTATATTATATATATTTTTTTTTAACACCGATTCATTCATTGATTTCAAATCGAATACATGAGTTGATACAATGGTAATACATCAATAGAAAACAAATACAAAGATACATCTATGCATTTATAACCACATATTAGAAAGAACGATGAACAAGCGAATTTCCACGATGCTTTGGATACCGAAGCCTTACTCGCCAACAGGTTGATAAACCCATTTCTTTCCTTCTCCAGAATCAATCCCAAATTTATGAAATCGTCGTTCTTGGCTATCATCTCTTGGATGAAACTCCATAATCGTCTAATGCTAATGATGCTACTCAATATCTTCTCTTGCACCAAACCATTGATTCCCCATAAGTATGCTATACCCGGATCCCATATTCGTTGATCAACACACCATATAACTCTTCGGGATCGAGTATCAAACAATTCCACTGTTTGGAATCTTTGATATCGGGCATCATAAAGGAACAAAAAATCCTTCACAGAAATAGCAAATTTGTCATGAGTAGAATCAATGCATAGACACAATCCGATGACAAACCATGAATGAAACGCCTCCATAATCGGAGGAAACTGCCGGAAACGGAATCGTTCCCACTTATCAACAAAGGAGATCCCAACCGAGACTCCAAAAACTAATTGCTTAGATAGATGTATATTATTCCTTTTTGGCTTCAGAAACTGCATTGACAAAAACAGAAGATGATAATTATATTATATTATTATCTTTTTGTTTGTGTTTATATTATTATTTTCTACTAATTTTCTACTAATTTTGTCAGAATTTTTTTTGTTTGTGTTTTAAAAAAAAATAAAAAATTGTAAGCCAAAAAAAGAAGAAGATTATTATTATTTTCATAGGTGTGAAGCCTAAAAAGGAACAATGATGCTGTTGCGTTACGATACAAAGTTACACACTAAAACAGACAAAATGCTCTACATCTTTCTTTCTCTCTCAATCTACCTGAAACCTATACAACATTTCATTCTATCCAAAACTCCTCTAATTAGGAAAATTAAGCAACATGAAAAGAATCCTAATTTACATGTTAGAATTAAAATCAATGTGGAGTTAATCAACATATGTCAACGTGAGTGGAGAGGGAGATTAAAGACCTGTCTCTTGATCTTTCAATGGTTCCTCGATAGCCCCCGCCCAGGCGAAACCCTCTCCCCATAGGACCCCGATCCTGTTTTAACTTCACGAAATGCCCTATGCCCCTCTGCGCAAAGGTTTACTTGTACTGCACCACCACCTTCGCTGGCTTTACAAGACCACCTCGCTTCTCTCTCTCTTGAGAGATATTTTGGCGGATTTTGCAAAATTTATATTCCAGTTTTTGCTCAGCTATCATCAACTACTTTTTTTGTGAGACTGACTCCTTTTGCCTTCTCCATTTCCGCTTCCTTTGCAGCTTTCTTCTTCTCCAGCTCTGCTTGCTTCACGTTCTCTTCGTGTGCTTTCTTAAATAACCTTATAAAATTCAAGAGGGTCGCAGTAACTGCAGCAGTCCATCACCCGGTATCATTATTAGCTACATAACAGTTCCAACTAAAACACGAATAGGAACTTTTTATTCTCTCCTATGTATTGCTCAAGATCGCCATACCTTGTTCAAATGGACAACGGTTAGGATCCTCGCCAAAATAGTGCGCAAGTGCATCAGCATTTCTTCCCTATCGCCCATCATAAGAAAACATAACAAAACCATTTCAGGATCAAACACATTGTCAAAGGAAAGACTAAGAGGCTTGGAATAGTAGAGGTTGGTAATTACCACGACGGAGTAAAGACTCGATACAGTTGCCACTTCAGTCTCAGCAATGGATATGAAGTCTCTCAATGTCTGTTATCAGAAGCATAAACGTAGGTTTAGTATCCGGAAGAAGTAACTTCTAAAAACAAAACCCAGCTGAAGATCTTCCAGCGGGTATTGATGATTTACAAAGAGATACAGATTCAGTTATGTGGCACATTCATGGTTGATAAAATACGCAAAAAGGAAAAGAAAGAAAAAGCCAACATACTTTACGAAAAACTTCAGAAACAGGACCATCACTTTCGGACGCTGTGAGCTCCTGGTTCAGTTTTTCCAATCCCTTGATTATCGCTTGCATTTCCTCAGCCAGAGACTTCAATTGTATCTGAGATAGACAGGATTATCTAATGATGCGCCAGTTGCAACCAAAAAGTAGAGGACAAAAAAAGCACAAACGAATACCTTTGAGGCTGATTCAAGACTTTCAAGGTCCTTGTGGAAGTCCAGTAGAACTGATGCCTTGGAAGCAAGGACCTGGATAAAGAGAAATAATAAGAGTTTCAGGATTATGTATCCCTCCTGAGCTAACTAATTCATTACAACCCTGTCAGAAACTAATTCCTGCTTTTTTCTATCATAGTTTACCTTGCAAAGATAATGCATGAGAGTCATCTTGCTGTTAGCAGCCCGTGTATCGCTTAATTTCAATAAACTGTCCAATTTGAATCCAACAGCAGCGCCTGCAGAGAGCAGAGCAAGCAAGAATTATGTCAGCCACAAAGGTGCCGAATCAAGCTCACATTGAACAGAGAAATTAATTGTCTTGCATCAGGAAATGTCTTGTGCAAAAAGATGTAGAATAGGAATAATATAATACTAACCCCTTGCAGTTCCTTGGTTCAGAGTGTTCCCCAGATAAAGAATTTTTTTCATAATCTCTTTTAGCTTTTGTGAATTACGGACCTGATGAACAGCAATAAGGAGAATGTTCTAACAAGGAGAAATGGTGGATTCAAAATAAGAGTTAATTACTGCAAGCATCTTACCTCCTCGCATGCAGAATTTACCGCATTTAAACTTTTTTTGAATTCTGTTATCTGCACAAAAACACATCATTATCAATAGGACAAATAATCTACAGTTACTCAGACACTGATGAAATTGAAACTTTGTCCTCCAAAGAATCACATAGACAGAAAATAACAGTATAAGTAATACCACCAGACCTGAGTGCCAAATTGAATCTTGAAAGAAAATACTCTAAGCTTTGCCTCTACTCGTGGCACCTTCATTAGCTCTAGGAAATACTGCGATAACAAAAATGGATGGCAGAAGAAAACAACTTAACTAAGTAAGCTATTGCTAACCATATTACAGTGGGAATCAAAAACAGTATTGAGAATCTCAAGACTTAAACAAACCTGTTCACACTTTCCCAAGGTTGCCTTGTCCCCAGTGTAGTTCTACAGAAAAATCAGTCAATTACGACCAAGAACAAGGACTCGTGTCAATAAAAAGTGATATTGGTAACCAAGAATTGAAAGATTTCACAAATAAAGACAGATGTAGATAATGCTATTCAAAAGTCAAAAGGGAACCTTAAGAAGCTCCATCTCCTCCTTGGTTGGGCAAAATTTTATAAGATTCTCTATTTGATCAACATCTAATACAGACTCATCCATTGCCAGAACTGCAGCCTGAATGATGCAAAGAAAAATGTGGATAACTATCATCAAGCAATGGAGGAATAACCAAACAATGACTTTTCAAAGAAGATTTTGGAGCTTACCATCATATCAGGCAGAGGCATCTTTACTTTTGTAAGCATAATTTCCGTGTTATTGGCTCTCCTAAGGTCAATCTGGAAAATCATAAGACAAACAGCTCTTCAAAAAGAGTGGAATATTGAGCCACAAAAGTATACAGACATGCAATGGGCTTCAAAGTAGAAAATTCAAGGGAAAAGAAATGCTGGAGAGTAGCTAAGAGAGACATTCTTAGTACTTTGACCAATAAAAAATAAAAGAGACATTCTTAGTAAAACTTTTTATATGTTTTACAGAGATGCTAGGTAGTTTTCATATTCCTGGAAAATCATATCATGTTTTCAGTTAATTAATTATAGCTGCACGACCAAAGTCTCCACCAGAAAAGAGCAAGTTCGAAACTCTGACTGTAACCAAGTGATAGGATTATTTACCAGTTGAACTTTTTCAGGCTTTGCCCCGACAGATTTTCGTCGACTTCCAGATTTATCAGCTGGCTTTTGCACTGTAGCAGAGAATAGGGTCTCTATTTCTGATACATCAAACTCTGGTGGACTAGCAAAAAGAAAAAAAATGATGATAGTCATTAAAACCTCACAGAATTGTGTTTCGTGGATAATCAAAGGTGCAAGAGGGGAACTTAGAAGTAAGAGAAAAGCAAAAATTAAGTTAGTCCAATACGTTTGTGATTCTCCATGTCTCTGTAGCTCATCCCATAAGCTCCCCTGCAAAGCCCGTGTTACTTTAACCCAATGTAATGGCTTCAAAGAAGACTTTTTCTGAGCTGAAGATCCAAAACCTGGACGTGGAAGACCACGTCCTCTTCCAGCTCCCCTAGGATCAACTGCAGCTCCTTTAGCACCAAGCATTGGAGGTGGAGGAGGTCCACCCGGAGGCCTTGGTCCAGGAGGCGGAGGTGGACCAGGAGCACGACCGCCAGGAGGCGGAGGCGGAGGTGGACCAGGAGCACGACCGCCAGGAGGAGGCAGCGGTGGTGGGGCTCCACCACGCATCGGGGGAGGCGGCGGCGGTGGGGCTCCTCCACGCATCGGAGGAGGCGGCGGCGGTGGG